ATATATATATATATATATATATATATATATATATATATATATATATATATATATATATTGTATATTTCCATGAAGCAAAGCAATCATTTCAGGATCTTATTGTCCTTTAGAAATCACTTTAACATGCTAAAATGCTGGTCTAAAAACATATTTTTGTTATTATCGAAGTTGAAAACAATTGCATGATGCATTTTTTAAAAATCTTTGGGCAAAGGACGTTCAAAAGAAAAGCATTTATTTGACATATTTTTTGTTACACTATGAAGGACTGTGTCACCGACTCGGTCCCAGTCATTCCCCTTGCTGGCCAGCAGAGGCCGCCATCCCCGGACTTAAGCATTACATCATCCATCTATACTGATTGGCTGCGTCCGAAACCGCATACTTCCATACTATATAGTACGCTAAAATCAGTATGCGTGCCGAGTAGCATGTCCGAATTCATAGAATTCGAAAATCAGTAGGCGAGAAGTACCCGGATGACTTACTACTTCCGGCGAGATTCTGAAGTGCACATCCCATGCACGCTGCGCTATCCCATAATGCCCCGGGAGCGAATTCATGAATGGAAATGAGGCGACGCAACTGACGCAGGTAGGTCACGTGACCACGACAAAATGGTGGATGTAGTGCGTCCGAATTCCATTCATACTTTTCACATTCATACTGTATAGAACGTACTTTTCTAACGGCCGAGTAGTAGGTTTAAATTCAAATGCAGTACCTACTGAGTAGTAGGTGGTTTCGGATACTGCCATTGTGCACACACCTTAAATTATGTCTTTGCCTCGGAAAGTCGACTTCTCGCGACAGTTTTAATTTTGTTCTGGAGGCTGAAGCCGCGTTCTGCTGCCACACTGGAGACGGGAATTACTAGCGCCACTTCAGCCAGCGCTTTGTAGTTAGGAAACATTTCTCCTTTAGGAAGTGTTTAAAAGTTTGCTGGATTCTCTGAATTTGGGATTTCCCGATCGTGCAAGCACTCATTTCACCGGGAATAAATACTGCAGCACGTGATCCTCCTGCACCAGGGGCGCGGCTGCACCCCTCTGCGTTCAGTAGCGCTCACAACACACTCCAAAACACCTGACTTACTTGCTGCCGCTTGGTTGACCCGTAACAGGCTACAGCCGTCGGCAACTGAGGATTCTTGTCTGTTTGTTCTTCATCGTCCACTGCCCCTGCTGAAAAATCCAGCTTAAACCAGCCTAGGCTGGTTGGCTGGTTTAAGCTGGTCGACAAGCCTGGTTTTAGAGGGGTTTTGGCCATTTCCAGGCTTGTTTCCAGCCATTTCTAGCCTGGTCTTAGCTGGTCAGGCTGGATAATGACTAGCCAAATCCAGCTAAAACCAGCTTGACCAGCCTGGTTTAAGCTGGATATAGCTGGTTTTGGTTGGACTCCCAGCTTGGCTAGGCTGGTCAAGCTGGTTTTAGCTCAACCCAAGCTCATTCTGGAAACGTAGCCCCGCGGACGTTTCTGGAGACCGCGATTTACGTGGCCGGAGGTACGTAAAGGCCGCGTTTGGTTTTTTTCGAGCGAACGCAGCGGGGCGGTGTGGCGCCGGCTCCTCCCCTCCTTTTCGCGCTCCTCCCCTCCTTTTCGCGCTCGCCGGCCGACGGCTCGCCTTCGAGTGGAGGGCTTTCCCAACGCAATCAGTTTGTCCGCCTAGCTCACAGCGTTGCGTCGGCGGAGCTGAGGCCCCGGAGGAGGAGGAGGAGCCGGAGCCGGCCGCAGTGGACGACTACCGGGATCGAGTCCGGGGAACATCGGGTTCCGGAAATCAGGTGAGACGAAAAACGGAATCCGGAAAATGAGGGCGAGAACGCGGCGGGATCCGAAAACGAGGTTGAAATCGAAGACGAGGGCTTTTGCTTTTTTTTTTTTTTTTTTCTCCATCCGGCGGCTTTTCGCGCGAGAACGGCACGGGCGCGGATCCGCGAAAACAAAAAAACCGCTCGAATACGTACCTCCCGGGACTTAAATCGCGGTCCGCAGAAACGTCCGCGGGGCTACGTTTCCACAATGAGCCCGGGTTGTTTTAGCTGGTCATCTCCCAGCCTGACCAGCTAAGACCAGGCTGGAAATGGCTGGAAACCAGCCTGGAAAAGAAAAGGCCAAAACCCCTCTAAAACCAGGGTGGTCGACCAGCTAAAACCAGCCAACCAGCCTAGGCTGGTTTAAGCTTGATTTTTCAGCAGGGGCATCACTTCCTCTTTTTTCACTTTTATTATTAATATTACAACTATTTGGCCATTTAAAGAATCTTCTCACACAGCTGCTGTGACATTTTTGCAACTGTATACACACAGTGTATATTATGCTAAACGGTTAGCATTTTGGCAGATCACTTACTGCACCTTTAAATAAAGAATTCAGAAGTATGCTCTCAATGGCTCTCTCTGACCTGTGCTGTGGTAAGAAAAGGACAAAGCAAGCTGGAGAGAGAGCGAGGTGAGCTCCTGATTGAACAGAATGAGCACAGATGGTCTCCATTACGACTCGTCTGTCTCAATAAGACACAGTCGGATGAGTGTGAAACCCAGCGCACTGCTCCCATACTGAACAGCACCAGCTGACAGACCGGCAGGGCATCATGGGAAAGCAGTCTGCATGTCTGAACAGCTCCATGCAAGGGACACCTTTATTAACCCTTGTGTGCTGTTGGGAAGGTTTTCATCAACTCTGTGCTGATTTTGACTCTTAATTTGGCCACATCTTTATCTGTGTTTCATCAAATGGGATGATTTTTGGTAAAAAATCTTATTTTGACACATATTGTAAGAAATGCTTTGGAATTTTTCAATAACTCAACAATACACTCAAAACTGACTCCCCTTTGGTTATGTTAGGGACTGTTTTTGCCCCATTGACTTTCATTATAAAATCATAGATAGAGATATATATATATATATATATATATATATATATATATATATTAGGGATGCAACGATTAACCGGTTTCACTATTAACCGAGCTTTAATTCATCACAGTTAATTAATCATAAAGGCTTCTCAGCACCGCGTTTCTGCACAGAACACAACTGCAGCAATTAAACAAAGTTATGCCAACTGTTTGCTAGTTTATACACCGAGACTAATAACCACGCACACTGGATTAATTATGATTGAGGCTATTAACTAAGGCAAGCTCATGCAATTTCATTATTTACAATGGAGGGGTGCACACACGACGCGCTCATGCTTTTCCGGCGCATTAGTTAAGATGGGGGCTTTTGCGACCGTGTGAATTGCAAAACGGCTGAAGTTTGAGGAAGAAGCAATAAAAAGTACACAAGTTTGCAAACCTATTTAAAGTTACAAATATTGGCACCGTTGAGATTGCCTCAGCAACCCTGAACCCTGACACGAAACATCCAATTTCAATAACCTGTTCACACATCACCACACCCGCCCACCTCCAAACACTACTACTACCGATTCCAGTCAGGCACGAGCTACACTAGTTCGCAAAATGGCTAGTTGGAAAGAGGAACAATTTGTTGTTTTTATTGTTGATCATCAGTTACAGTACAAAAAAAGCTTAGTTTCTGGCTTTTACGTGGAGTATAGTGTATGTGTGTGTGTGAGAGTGTAAGAGAGACCTTTGCACACAAATATGTTTGAGACTATCTAAACAAGCAGCTCCGCTGTCAGAACATAGTAAGCAGAGGATGTATTTATGCACACACACTATAATCTGCTGTTTTACTCCATAGACCTCCATTCTATATAAAAGCCAGAAACGTCTTTGCACAGGCCTATCTAAAGGGTTAATGCTGCCAACTGATGATCAACAGCAAAAATGACAAATTTGACCTCTTCCCAACAGCGAAAACCAGCAACAATCAAAGAATGCATGATTATGTGCTGTCATGGCTTTGCAATCAGAAAATGCCATTATAATGGAAGTCAATGGGGCAAAAACAGCCCAGAACATAATGAAAGGGTAGACCATTTTGAGTGTATTGAGTTTTCAAAAATTCCAAAGCATTTTCCCAAAATATGTGTCAAAATAAGATTTGTCCTCAAAAATCATTTCATGTGCTGAAACACGAGAAACTATTATATGCTGTCATGGCTATGCAATCAAAACATTTAATTATAATGGAAGTCAATGGGGCAAAAAAATGGTGAAGCTGGTGAAAAGAAATCAGTGATTTTAAACCTGTTTTTTTAAATTCATTTAAAAAATTTTTTTTTATTCACTTACAGTATTTTGGCAGTATTTAGGTTGCTGCTGAAAGTGTTGTTAGGGAGACCAGCAGGGGGCGCTCAACCTGTAGTCTGTGTGGGACCTAATGACGGGGACTCTATACTGCTCAGTGAGCGCCGTCTTTCGAATGAGACGTTAAACCGAGGTCCCTACTCTCTGTGGTCGTTAAAAATCCCAGGATGTCCTCCGAAAAAGAGTAGGGGTTTAACCCCGGCATCCAGGCCAAACCTGCCCACTGGCCTCTGTCCATCATGGCCTCCTAACCCTCCCTATATCATAATTGGCTTTATCACTCTGTCTCCTCTCCACTAATCAGCTGGTGTGTGGTCTGGCGCAAAATGGCTGCCGTCGCGTCATCCAGGTGGATGCTGCACACTGGTGGTGGATGAGGAGATTTCCCCCCCATTGTGTAAAGCGCTTTAAGTGCCCAGAAAAGCACTATATAAATGTAAGGAATTATTAGTTATTATTATTATTTGGTTAAGTACATTATTAAAGAGCCCCTATTATGGAAAATGACCTTCCATTGCAGTGTGTAACACAGCTCTTAGTGCACCTTGTTTAAAACTACTGATTCTTTAGCAAAATAGTTGACTCTGAGTCAAATAAACGAATAATATATATATATATATATATATATATATATATATATATATATATATATATATGTATATATATATATATATATAAATATATATATATATATATATATATGNGTGTGTGTGTGTGTATATATATGTGTGTGTGTGTGTGTGTGTATATATATATATGTGTGTGTGTGTGTGTGTGTGTGTATATATATATATGTGTGTGTGTGTGTGTGTATATATATATATGTGTGTGTGTGTGTGTGTGTGTGTGTGTGTGTGTGTGTGTATATATATATATATATATATATAAAAGAATCGAATAAACAAATCGAGTTGTGTTCAGATCTTTTGTTTGATCGCATCGACATCGATACGGTACATCAGTTGTTTTCAAAGTAGGGGTCGGGACCCCCGGAGGGGTCGCCTGGTGATTTCCAAAAATCTATTTATTTTTATTAAACCATAAGAATTACCATATTTTATTCATAACCTACTGAAAAGAAAAAAAAAAATAGTTGTTTATAGGTACTATATACTACTGTATATAGTTACTATAGTAGCTTATAGTCAGGGCCAGACGGAATCTGCGGACGTTTTTTGCTATTTCTGCGGAGAATTTTGGTAAAAATCTGCGGATTTCTGCGGAATTATTTTAGGAGTATCCAGCAGAGTATCATAACTAAAACCATAATATATTAAATAAAAAGTAATAAATTACTGAATAAAAACTGAATAAATTTAGATTTACACATTTGCAAAAAGTAAATAAACATAATTAATGATGGGCTAAAAATCTGCAGAAATCTGCGGAATTCTGTGGAAATTCTGCGGAAAATCTGCGGAATTCTGCGCGCGCAGATTCCGTGTGGGCCTACTCATAGTTACTAGTTCTATTGGATTGTGAACCCAGGGGTAATTTCATTATATTAAAGACACAGCAATAGTGTCAGATGCGGCAGATTGATATTATAACACCAGGTTAAACTTTCAGGCACATTTACAGCACTCACATACATTAAAAAAATTCAACAAAGAATAGACTTGGGTCTATTGGTGTGTGTGTGTGCAGCATTGCATGCAAGGTTTCTGTATGTATAAACACCTCAGAAGATATTGGGGGACACGAGTCACTGGCCTTGTTATTTTGGGGCTCCTGCAGTACATCACCTGTAAGTCATCTCAGGAAATGATCTGATCTGTCTTTAAACATTCATATATTACACGTTGATCGTCTCAGTGTACAGTATGTCAACAACTGTCTATGTCCTGGCTATTTTTAATCCTCCTCAGGAATTTTCTTAACATGCTTCAGTGGTTGTAAATGAGCAATGACATTTTCCTCTGGCTAACAGTGGAGAGAAAGACATAATGAAGAAGACTGAGAGAAAGAGAGAGTGTGAAAGATTGTGTGTGAGAGAGAGAGAGCATGAGTGTGAGTGTGTGTAAACAGTCGCTATTGACCCAGAGAATCCCTTCAATAAGAGCACATCAAATATGAGCCACCGGTTGCCATGGCAGCAGACAAACACCTGCCATGAGTGGCACAGACGAGCACAACACATGCATGAACAAACAAAATCTCACACACACACTAGGCCTGTCACAATCAGAATTTTTTTTGTACGATATATTGTCAGAATATGTTGCGATAAGCGATGTTATTGTCATTTTTAAATCATTTTATGCCACTGATTAATATATAATTGTAATAGCCAATTATGCATAATTCATTTATGATAATAATTTAGTTAAAAAAGGTTAAAACATGATAAAAATTGATATTTAAATATAATAAGAATTCATTGTGATTGTATTATCTAAAATGCATAGTTTAATAATTGATTCAATTTAAAAAAACATTTACTTTGGTATTTTGGCTTACGACAGCAATACGTTATGTTACGTTTAAGTTACGTTAGTCAGATTGCAGTTATGGATGTTGGAAGCAACACAGTTTTTTGACCGAGCTGATCGAGTCTATTGTAACTTTGTATTTTTGTTTGCATTTCTTCAGTAAACCTTTTTTAAAAGCAGATTCGGTCTTACTCGCGGTTTTGCAAATACTGGTTGTTGGAATAGAAGCTGCACAAGGTGGTACATGAGGATTTGCACAAAAGGTGTGCCACTAATTATTATTACAGCATAATAATGCAAATAGCTATTAACACTTTAAAATACTTCTCATTCTTTAGGTGGATTAGATTCTATAATTTGATGTTAAAAAGGTAAATGTCCTATTATATATACTATTAAATGTCATATTAGGTAAATGTCCAATTATAAACGTTGACAGGTGAGGTAGAACATTGAAATGTCAATGTAAAATGGCTTTAAAGGTGCAGTAGGTGATCTCCCACAATGCTAGCCTGTTAGCATAAATCTCTAAAACACCATCAGTCCCCTGATGTGTAAAGCCACGCCTCCTGAAAACACGAGCTTAAAGATGACATCAGAACCCTCTCTCATGTGTTGAGCTTAGGCTAAAGCTTGGCTGGCGGCGTGCAGGAATTACACTTATTATTCCACTCATTTCTAAGCCATACTTTTATGCTATTTCAGACCGAATATTCAGAGTAGCGGTAAACAATGTAGGGAACGTGTCACAGGTTGTCACTGTTCAAAAATGAACCAATTTGAATATAAAACCATCTTCAGCTCAGTATAGCACGCCAGACAGATTAGCGCTGTTTACTCATGTTTAGTTGTTAAACTAAATATAAATCTACATCATCGATGCTGTGAAAGGACTTTATGAAACTGAAAATAGTCACATCAATCGCCGGGAGATTTCAGTGGCTGAACATCACTTCTGTGCATATAACCCATTAATAACCTGTCTAAGAGAAATACTTCAGCCACGATGTCGTCCTTCCTCCAGCGTGCAAAAGTAACTCCGATATTGATTCAGAATTTTAAAAAAGATTAAATTCACCATGTTTTTACCGCTTGCTCTCGTTCTCTATCATGAACGCGCAGCATGTGTAACAAACGGCAGAGCTGCGTACAAACAGGTGCGCAGTAGCTCAAATCTGCACTTGCTGACAGACAGTTTGAGCTACTTATCAGAATTATGGGAGAATTGGATAACCATTTTTTGGTCTTATACTTTACCCAGAATACAAAAAAACATTCAGATCATTTACTTTAATCATTACTATCAGAATGTGAAGAGACTTTAAACCAGCATAACAAAAACGTTTCTGAAGACAATCACCTACTGCACCTTTAACGTTATTTTTGAATTTGTAAATAAACACTACCTGACAAAAGTCTTGTTGCTTACACAAGTTTAATGAAAAGCAAATACTAACATGACTTCTAGTTGATCATTTGGTATCAGAAGAGGCTTATATGAAAGGCAAAGGCCTCAAGATTACGCTAATTGTACCACAATAAAATACGATCATGCCTTGATTTTTAATGATTTCATTAGGACAGTAAGATCTGACTTTGCTTCGACAAAAGCCTTGTCACTGAACAGAAATAATGTCCAGTATAGAATATGAAGTCATGCTGCAGTGGAAACAGAATGAATATTGTGTCTGACTCCATCATGAGCTTGGAGGACTGCATCCAGACATCTCCGCATGACTCAAATCACTCATTAATAAAGTCATCTGGAATGACAAAGACAGTGTTCTTGCAGGACCTTTGGATTCATCTTCAGTGCCTCCTCCTCCATCTTAACCCTGACATGCTCAATAATGTTCATCTCTGATGACTAGGCTGGCCAATCCTGGAGCACCTTGACCTTCTTTGCTTTCAAGAACTTTGATGTGGAGGCTGAAGTATGAGAAGGAGCGCTATCCTGCTGAAGAATTCACCCTTTCCTGTGGTTTGTAATGTAATGGGCAGCACAAATGTCTTGATACTCAGGCTGTTGATGTTGCCATCCACTCTTGCACACCACCCCATACCCCAGTGTATATTGGAATGGCAATTTATTAATTCATTTATTAATTTTCCTTCGGCTTAGTCCCTTAATTTATCAGGGGTCACCACAGCGGATTGAACCGCCAACTCATCCAGCATATGTTTTATGTAGCGGATGCCCTTGCAGCTACAACCGAGTACTAGGGAACATCCATACACCCTCTCATTCACAAACACACTCATACACTGCGGCCAATTTAGTTTATCCAATTCATCTATAGAGCATATCTTTGGACTGAGAGCGAAACTGGAGCCCCTGGAGAAATACACACAAGAAGGTTGCTGGTTCGAGTCCCAGCTGGTCCATCCCCCTCAGTTCAAAAACAAGACATACATAACAAACAGGAAAGATACATGAGTATTACCACATACCTGTGTAAGCCATATTTTTTGGGTTTCCGTACGGGGTTCCCGGTTGCACTGGACTGTACACCGGGTTCATGGTGGAAGACAGTCTGTTCTTACTGAGAAAGAGAGAGAAAAAGAGAGAGAGGAAGAATAAATACTATGGAAGTCATTGTTTACAGGCTTCCAGCTTTCTTCATCATATGTTCTTCAGCGCTTATAACAGAAGAAAGAATCTTATAAAAGGTGAAAGATGAGTAAACAATAAGCAATTTTTTTTTGGGGGTGAACTATCCCTTTAAAGAGGATCATCAAAAACATGGTTAATAAATAGAAACGTCTTGGGTGGTGTGTGTAAAAAAGCAAACTCTTCTATTGTTAGACTGAACTAGTGATTGGCTGGTTTTGGATGAAGCGGAGGAATCTAATCCTTACAGCAAACTCTGATGGCATTATCAGTCCGTCAGTCAGAGCAACGACAGAAATAGAGGAAGAAAAGCGCATGAATAGGGGAGGATTATGCGTCAGATCTTCTTCCCCGCTGTCGGCCACACACACTTGGGAAACGGGAGACGCTTGTGTTAGCAGGTGTTCAGATGTGAGTGTGTGTCACCAGTGCTTGTGTGTGTGAGGGCGAATGTGCCTGTCGGAAGACGTGATGATTTATGATCGCACGAACACAAGTCTGAAAGATCAAGGTCATGACATTCAACTAGTCAAAAGGAGAAACGCATGACAAATGAAAAAAATGTATACGTATGATAATAACTGTTTAAATTTAGCTCATATAAATTGTTCGCAACCACTTGGTGCATTTCATTTTGTTCTCAAAGGAAGATACTTTGAAGAATGCTGGAAACCTGTAACCACTGCCTTCCATAGTAGGATAAAACAAACACTATGGAAGTCAATGGTTACAGGTTTCTAACATTCTTCAAAGTATCTTCTTTTGTGTTTGACAGAATAAAGAAACTCATATTACTAAATTTAATTAGTTTTATTTAATTCAGCCCAAATAAAATGTTTGGAACCACTTTGTGCATTCCATTTAATTCTTACAAGGTACAAGGTACAATGTTAGAAACCTGTTACTATTGACTTTTATAGTGTTTGTTTTGTCCTACTATGGAGAGCAATGGTTACAAGTTTCAAACATTCTTCAAAGTATCTTCTTTTGTGTTCAACAGTATAAAGAAATAACGATTATATACATACATATATATATATATATATATATATATATATAAT